TATGCCTCTTAAAATCCCCTGGCTTCTTAATAGTAAATCAACTGACTTGGTTTCAAACGGAATATCCAAGTTTGGAAAAATAAAGCTGTTGTTTAGCGGATTGAAATTTGAGGCATGACAGAAAGGCTTTCAGACACTGTCAATCTTGCCAGAAACTCAGAAGCATAAAACCGTCAGGTGCTGATTTACCAGCTTGAACGACATTAAATGCTTTCATTTAGAAGCTACCATGTGATTTACAGTCTTTTTTTGGGTAAAGGCACAGGTTTGCTGTCCTGGCTCTGTAGTCACTAATGACCTTAAGATGCTGCTGAGAAGGAAGTGGGTTTTAGCCCACATGTCCTGTTTTGTCTTTGTGCCTCACCCAGTGCCATACTCCTGGAAGTATTCAGGAACTATATTAAGCAGACTCACATCTGTACATCAACTAACAGCTGTTGTGCCTTTTTTGTTTCCTCCTCAGGGGAGATGTGTGGCAAAGTGACTTCTTTTATCTTAAATAGACTTCAAAACAACCAAGAAGAAGATTTTTTTTAAAAAAAACCCACAACCCAATACCCTGAGAGAAGTCATCTTTGAGAGCTTAAGATAAGCACATGATCCGTGTGCACATGTAAGGTAGAGTCAAAGATTTGTGCCGTGTATTTTAGGCAGAAGGCAGTGAGGTGGGTTTTGGCCTGTCCTTCTACTTTGAGAAAAAACTTTAGGAAGTGGCTGCAGTCTTCCATCTGGAGCTGGCTGCCTCTTGAGCAATCTGTCGTGCGTATGTATGCATCTTCCCCAAGAGCTCTGTGAGTCTTTTGAATCAAAAGACGTGCAGGAAAATGTGAGGCGATTCCTTTTTTTTAACCACACAAAGTTCATGAAGATTTTAGTACATGGAACTGAAATTTTGTTGCTTGCTTTCTTTGCCTCACAGCTGTAGCTCTCCAAAGCATTCCCATCCTACCTAGCTCAGCTGACAAGTTTCCCTTAAACCCATTCATAACTTACTACTTTGAGTACTCCTTCTACTTTATCCTTCATTTTATTTGCATCAGAAGGACTGATACTATGTCAGAGAGTGATTTATGTATATGATACTTTCATTTGTATTGCTGCTAATGACTGTATTTTTATTTTAACCAAACTTCCTCGATAGTCCTGTTACAGAAGCTTAAAATTTTAGGCTGTGTAACTTGCTTGGATTAATCCTAGAATAGTTTAATTTTGGAAGGGAACTCTGCATGTCATCTGGTCCATCCTCTTACTCAAAGCAGGGTCAAATTCAAAATTGTATTAGGTTACTCAGGGCCTTGTACTTTCTGCTGACATCCTAGCAATAACTGTAATTATGAAAATTGTAATTAGATAAAACCTCATATATGCTAGTGTATCTTTATCATAGTTACTTTTAATGAACAGTTAAGGTATTTAGTACACAGTAAATGTGTACTAAATGTGTATTTTAATTAAGACTGGTTGCAAGTGTCATTAATTTTGTCTTACTCCTTTTGCATAAATGTGGGCAATAAATTTTCTGGTTCAACTTTTTAATGACATCTGACTTAAGAAAAAAAAAAGGCTAAAAAAAAAAATCTCTAGGTGATTTGAGTTGTAAAATATCCTTCCCACAGTTTGTGGGGTTTATTACTTGTTTGCATCCCTGTTCTGTAGAGGATGGTGAAAGCAAGGGCTTGTTGCAGCGCGGTTTGGCTACACCACAGCTCCATCTGCTGTTCTTCAGCTACAGCTTTCCCTTTGTGTCCCAGCCTCCCACTTCACAACTTCATATCGATTCTTGAGCTTTTTCCCTCTGAATTTCCCACTTTGTTTTCACTCTTGTGAGGAGATATTCCGTGGGACACCTCCAAACTGCATTTTGATGTTCTGTATTCAGAATTCATTTGAATTTTTTGACAACAGCCAGCAGTTGTGACATCTTTCTCTTTTTCTGTTTGCTTACAAGCATTAGGGGTTTTTTTAGTAATGTTATATGTCTTACCCTTGCAAAGACAAGTTACTACAAGGTTTGAAGGCCTGTCATCTAGCGATAAAGGAATAAAGGTGTTCCTGCTCTTCAGTTGAGTAATAGGTACTTGTGATTTTATTTTATTTTTTTTTGTGGAGAAGTCTGGAGTTGTCTTGCCTGGATCTTACACGTGCCCATGGTTTGTGTTATGCATGTGATGAAGAGAGGCAGTTCAGCTGCTTTGGGGCTATCAAAACTTTACAGATTGAGGGAGGAATGGGAAAGAAGAATGTGACTAATGGCAGTGAGTGAATCTACAGCGTGGCTCAGTCAAGATTGAGAATGAAGACACTTTGATTAACCTGGTTATTAAAATTGCAAAAGAAAACTTAAATTCCTGTGCTGTTCTCCCTCTCGGCAGACTCACTAGAGCATTGGGATTTTGGGGTTTGTTTTGTGGGAGTAAACTGACAGATCACATCGCAAGGAAACAATGGTAAATCATATTCTAAAAAGAAAATTAGCTGTCATTCAGGAAAATATATTCATATTTGAATATTACTATTCTAATTTTCCAGTTCCTGTGGAATGGGAACAATACTATGGGCTTTAAAATCTGTTCTTCACAATACCCCATTGAATAACTTCAGTTGGGTGCCAAAAGGATGCTTTTCCATTAAATTATTCTGATTTTTTTTTTCTTTTTTTTCCTTCCTCTGTATGTTTTTGCTCTGTTGCATATTAAGCTGCCTGCACTGAGAAGATTTTGGTACGTGTGTTTATAGCAGGGAAGTTGAAAACTTTTTGTGTAGTCTTTGTGTAGTCTTCAGTTGGTGCTGAGGCTTCAGGCAGGAAGGATGCAGAATCAATTTTTAAAGCTAAGTGTTTAATTTTGGATGATCCCATAAAAGGCAGACAGGACATGTGAACCTGTTTTTTCTTACCTCTGGCAAGCAGCCTAACCACAAAAATTAAATAGAAAATGATAGTTCTCCCCTTTAGAAACAGACCTGGAACAAAAGATGTATTAGTTGTACTTTCTAACAGTGTTGGAGTTTATTAAACTATACTGTGATTTTTATTACATGTGCCTTATCTAATCCTTCTTTTTAATTGTCCCACGGCATTATCACCAAAGGCTTTTTCAGTTGCTGACCTTCTGCCTCTCTACATCTACATCTGTCACTCTTGATTATGTTTGCTGTAGAAAGTGAAACTAAAATTAATAACTGTGCAAATGAAAAAGGAGCAGGTGAGTTGTCAGTGTAAAATCAGCCCAGCATCTCTTGTTAGCGCTTGAATTCAGTGAAAGAGCCCTTATGGATGTGCATAAGTATGTGGTGATGTTATGAGTAAGTAGTAAATGATACCACTGAGCAAAGCTGTGGAATATACATAAATTAGTTTTATTTAGGTCTGGAGGCAGTCACTGAAGTTAGTTTATTTAGTGTAAAAGCCCTGTTTCTTATGTGTTTTGAGACCATGCACAGATCTGAGTGCTCCTGTTCTGCCAGCAGTGAGCTGCACACAACTGTCCCCTTGCTTCGGTCAAGTAAGCTCAGAGAGTTTGGAAAGGATGCTTTGCAGCACATTGTATATCTTAAACAAGTTCCTGCACTCTCTGTGAACCAAAGCAAGTGTGTGTGGTAACTGGATCCTGCAGGTTGAGAGTTAGGCTTTCCTGAGCTGCCTGGAGGGATCTGCCTTGCAGTTAAGGCACTGTGTTAGCGGTGAGTTCTTGGATTTGTGTGTCATTTGCTGCCTTTTTAACATTAACTTACAGATGTTCTCAAAATGGGAAATGTGAAAGGCTGGTTCCTGGAGCATCTGGGGGATTTGGCAGAATTGTTGGTGTCAAGGCAGATGGGTGAGCAGAGATGTTCAAGCCAGCAGATGTCAGGCTGTTACCACCAGCAGAAAACAACACGAAAGGAAGTGATGATACTTTGTGCAGCGTTGGGTAGCTGCAGGTCATCTTCAACTGATGAATAAAAATAATGATGATTTAGGAATAAATTGTAATTAAGCAGCATAGCTCTTCTGGAGTAGCTCTGTGTTTTGGTTTATTTATTGTATTATAGTAAAATCCTGTGTGGGTATTCCAGAATATTATCCCCATGCAGGGAATTACCTTGTAAAAGCAATAGATAAACTTTCCACTACGGATGAATGGTTGGGGAAGGGTCAACAGGAATAGTGTGTACAAACCAGTAAAAACCATAAAAGCTGGAAAAACTCACCTTAGGAATGGAGGTTAAATTTCTAATGAGGGAATAAAGCTAACCCTGTGGGGTTTGGGTTAAGTGGTATGTATAGGCTTGCAGTATTTGTAGGGCAATGGAAAGAATTGGGGAGGGTCTGTGAATTAATGAAAATTGCAAGGAGAGAAGGAGAAGCATTTCATGAAACTATCTGAAAAATCTGTCAATAGCAGAAGAAATACAGAAAATTTGTATTTTCCAAGAATTAAAAACAACTTAAAACATTTTCTAACAAGCATCTGTTTAAACTTCAATCTTATGCCAAAAGGGGGAGGGAAGAAGTAAGATTATTTGTTGGTGGGTTTTCTGGGGTGTTTTTGTTGATGGTTTGGTTTGGTTTTTTGTTTGGTTGGGTTTTTTTAAACAAGGCTAATATGGAATCTTTCTAAGACTCAAAACATTGCAGGAAAGTGACTTTCATTACTTGTTGATAAAGTTCTATTTCATCAGATACCTTGTGACTCCTCTGCAGATTTGACTAATTTCCTAAATATATTTAGAATATCTTATGTTAGGTATGATACTATAAGGACGTGGATTCTTTTTATAGCTGAAAATAACATTTCTCCTTCCGTGTATACACCTGTAATTTTGGCTGGTTACCTTTGTAAAGCAGAAGAATCTTGCTGTATTGGGAATCTAGGAATATAAATTATTTCAGTGTCATATTTTTTCTTAGTAAAACATTTTTACTTTATTTTTTTGTCTGCAAAGTGACTTGGCACTTGCAGTGGACTCCATGATCAATTTCAGTTTTCTGAGCATGTTGTTATTTCTTGTTCTCACAGATTGATCACTTTGGATTTGATGAAAATCTTACGTTCCAGCAGCGGTATCTAGTAGCAGATCAGTACTGGAAGAAAGATAATGGACCGATACTGTTTTATACAGGCAATGAAGGAGACATCACATGGTTCTGTAACAATACGGTATGTAGAATATAAATTCTTAAATTACAGTCCTTCTTTCCACTAGTGGCCTACTGAAAAATCAGGAAGAACAAGGAGACGTTGTCACAATATCACTTAAAGAAAAGTTTCTAATGGTTGTTTTGATTGTTATAGAAAGAAGAAGCTGAGCAAAAGCACAGAAAAGGTTTTAGGGGGTTCAGGGTCCTATTCAAAGCCCAGAAGAAAAAAAAGGATGCTCTTGTATTAACTTGCTTGAATAGTGAAGAAGATCTCAAGAGGAAACACTGTAAGGTGCCTCAAGCTAAGAATGCAAATTTTTGACCAAACTATATCTATCCCAATACTTTAGATTCCCCAAGTAAAATGAGAAGTTCTGATTTATTTTAGAAAGAAAGAAAAATGTGAAGGGGGCTGGAAATCAAAGATAGATGGTTCTTGTTCTCTGACAAGACCTGTGGAAGTTTGCTTCCCTGACTGATACGAATGCAGAATGGCGCGTATGGGCATTTTTCAGCCACTTAAATACAAAGTCCAGTCACACAACAGGAGGTGGCATGTGCTGGGCTCAAAGCAACCAAGGAATGCTCACACACTTGGTTCTGTCAGCAGGTGATCTCTGTCTGCCTGTTTCCATAACTGGTGCTAACAAGCTGCTGGCAACAAGTAATAGAAGTTGTAGTTATTTATTAGTTGAAAATAATTAATAATAATATTTATTAGTTGAAAATATTGCAATGCTCTAGATTATTGCTGATTGCCAAACAAACTTTGTGTTTTCTGTAATGTAGTCCTAAATCAAATGCATGCTTTTTTTCCTGTCATGTTTTTTATTTGCTATAGATTAAGCTTGTGCCATAGGAGTTCTGGCAGGATTGCCTGTGTGTACCCACAAAACAATACTGCTTAATATTTTGCAGCATTAAAAAAAAATCATATTTATTTTGTACCTGTCCCTTTCTCTTGGTGGAGATCTGTTTTGTGTGTTTTCTTACTTCAGTGACATCTTAAAACCAAATTTCACTCTGTAGTTGTATTTTGATAGTGATACCTTTCTAACCAAAGAATGAAAGTTGGAATACGCTAGACTGAAAGGAGAGACTTTGAAAATAATTGATTCAACTTAGTTCAATGTCTGTTTTCCTCCAACCAGGGTTTTATGTGGGATGTGGCTGAAGAACTTAATGCCATGTTAGTATTTGCTGAACATAGATATTACGGAGAATCTTTGCCCTTTGGGAATGAATCTTTCAGTGTAAGTGTCTTCTTTTGTCTTCCTTAAATGTATTCTATACAAACATTTTTCTGCCTCCTGTACTTCTTGCCAGTGCAATGACTGCTAGCCTGAGTAAGATTTAGATGTGTTAGAAGCACACAGATATCCTGTTTTTCTAACTGTCAATTCTAGCATTAAAAAAAATAAATAAATCTGGGATTTTCTAGCACTTTGAAGGACACCTGCAAAGAATATTTCATTTGTTATCAGGCACAGATTTAGAACTTGCCAGCTGCTGTGGGCAGTAGAAAGACTGCTGCTGGAAATCACTCCTGTGCTGTGTATAACCTGCTTTCTTTGTCTCAGGATTCCAAGCACCTGAATTACCTGACATCAGAACAAGCTCTGGCTGACTTCGCAGTACTGATTGAGTACTTAAAGACAACCATTCCAGGAGCTCGTTACAGTCCTGTCATAGCTATTGGAGGATCTTATGGAGGAATGCTTGCAGCCTGGTTTAGGATGAAGTACCCCCATGTGGTAGTTGGGTGAGTGTGCTCATCCTGCTCAAGCACAGAGCAGGCGTTTGTTACTTCTGTGCTATAAATACTACAGCACTGGGAGAAGCACCATAATTCAAACTGGACTGACTTTTCCACTATTGGGAGGAGGAATTAAGTTACCTTAAATTTGGGAAGAGGAGTACCTCTTCAGTGGTTTGCCTAATAAAGACAATTGTATGTCAGCAGGTACTGGATGGTGTGTTTTTTCAGAACTATCTGTTAGTTTTGTAAAAGCAATTATTATGAACACTGACTTCGCACCTAATTTATTTAGGGTCACTAGACTTCCTGGTGACTTCAGGCAGGTCTTTAATCTCTTCAATGCCTTAGTTCCCTTCTGGGAAGCAAGATTAGTAATTCTCTTTTGTCTGCTAGAGAGGAGATTTTTGTGGGCAGGGGCTCTCTTCAGCTGAGTTTGTGCAATGCTTAGTGAGAAAGACCTAGTTGCTAGATAAGAATGAAAGAGAAAGTAGGCAAGTCTGAATTTCTACTTTATGTATTTACTGATATCTTTTTACTACTATCCAAGACCTGCAACCTTCAACAGCCTTTACTTGCAGACCTGTGGAATAGTTTTGCAATGTTATGGTTATTTTGCTTATGGCTCAGTGTCCCAGCTGAATTATAAATGCTACTTAAGTAGTGGCTGTGGGGAGGGTGGAAGTTCACTTTCTAGGGGTTTAGAGAGTATGTAACAATCTTTTTATGTCCCTTTGCAGAGCTCTGGCAGCCTCTGCCCCAATCTGGCAGTTTGGTGATTTGGTTCCATGTGGCACTTATTTCAGCATAGTGACTAATGATTTCAAAAAAAGTGGGACAGGCTGCTCAGAAAGTATCCGGAATTCTTGGAATGCCATTAACCACCTTTCCTCAACAGGTGAGACCTCAATAATGCTTTCTCAAAGGGCTGTAAAGTTCAGGATTGTGTTTATCACTTCATAAAATCAGCAAGTTTGTTATGGCTTTCACCTGTATATGTATTGACTTTTTTGAAACGATACTTGTAGTACTGAAAACTGCCAAATGAGCTAAATGTTTTTTTTTTTTAATGTCTATTTTGTTGGATCACAAGCTTAGTTCACACCTTGTGTGATTCAGAATCCAGATCCAAACATCCTTAATGTCAGACAGGAGCTGACTCCAGATCAGAACCTCAAGGCTTGTATTGCTTTCTGATAAACTAGGCCAGATGGTTACTCTAAAAAAAATAATAGTTTAACTACCAACTGAGGCAATCATGTATAGAAAATCACTGCAATGCTTATGGATTCAGTGCTGGGGACCAAGTTGGACTCAATGATCTTAAGGGTCTTATCCAACCTAAATGATGTTGTAACAAGGTGGGTGTTGGTCTCCTTTCCCAAGTAAAAAGTGATAGGACAAGGAAATGGCCTCAAGTTGTGCCAGGTGAGGTTTAGATTGGATATTAGATAAAATTTCTTCACTGAAAGGATTATCAAACATTAGACCAGGCTTCTCAGGGAACTGGCTTAGTCACCATTCCTGGAGGCATTTAAAAGAGATGTAGATGTGGTGCTGAGGGACATGGTTTAGTGGTGGACGTGGCAGTGTTAGGTTTACAGTCAGACTTGATCTTAAGGGTCTCTGCCAACCTAAATGATTCTATGATTCTATATCAGATGAGGCTGCTGTACAGCAAAGGATTTCAGTGTAAAAAAAGAAATAACTTATTACTTCAGTTCAGTGTCCTAAAGAGAAAGTATGATGAGTTAGCTAATTAAAATCAAGGAAGCTGAACTGGAGGAGTTTTATACCAGATGAAATAATGAAGGGAAAGGCCAGAAGAGTCCCAAGAGATCTATCTATATAAATAGTCCTTGCACTGTGAGCTACCTGGTTTGAAGTTTCCTTTCACGGGAAGAAACATGCCCTAATGTTACTTCCTAGTAAAAAAAAAAAAAATCCCAAATGTCTTGTAAATACGTCTTTGCTTTTTAAGATAACATTATCTTAGCTGTGACATACTTCAACATATGGGTATGCAGACTGTATTTCCCTTCACTTAGAGGTGCTGTCTAAAATTTGATCTGCTATGCACAACTGACCTATGTGTTAATGGCAAAATACATTAAATATTTCATTTTTTTTAAATTAAAGATGCAGGTTTACAGTGGCTTTCCAGCACGTTTCATTTGTGCAGCCCATTGAAAAATCATCAGGATGCTGCTATACTGAAAAACTGGCTGAGTGAAACATGGATAAACTTGGCTATGGTGAACTATCCCTATAAAGCTGACTTCCTGCAGCCTCTGCCAGCTTGGCCTATAAAGGTAATTGAAGACCAGTATCTTGAAGAATTGACCATTTGGTTTAACTAACCCTGTCTTTCTCTCCTAGCCTGCACCTTTTCCTTTATTTTTGGCCTTGTAGAACCAATGTGGCTGAAAGGAGAACCAGGGCAATATCTTCTTATGCATCAACTGGTTTGTTGATTAACTGCAACTTAGGGCTAATAGTTTGCATCAAGAAGAAGCAAAGTGCCAGGGGTAACTGAAAAAACTCAGATGTCCTGCAGAGTTGTTCTTGAGGAGCAGAAATGTTGCACAAAAACCACATGCAAATAGAGCTTCCACTGCAGATCTTGCAATTAAAGACAAAGTTTGGAGCTTATGTTCTTTTTGATGTGGGAGAACTAATGAGAGAGGAAATGGGCATCCCCACAAATGTATTCCTTGCAGGGTCACTTCTCAAAGCAGAACCTCTTTCCACACTTGCAAACCTTCACTTGTGCAGTTCCGAGTATCTGCACTACTTTCTCCAAGATTTCTATTTTCTTGGAGTGTTTTTTTTTTCCCTTTTAGGACCCTTGCTGGATTTCCCTGCATGGCTTTGTGTTACTGTGTATGGCAGGCAAGGTAGATAAAATAGTGGTATTTTTGGCTAAACAGTAGTTAAATAAAAAATTTGCCCGGTGTAGGGCTGCCTGATGGAGGAGGGGAGGGACATTAATTTGTCTGTGGCTGCCCACAAAGGGCAGTGTGAACACTTTGAAAATTATTTCTGCTTTGTTATCAATATGATGCAACCTAAAAAATGTGCTCACCTTCACCAATGTCCATGTTACCTCTGACTGAGATATCAACCTAAAATAGAAAAGGCTGCTGCTTGTCTGGACAATGCTAGTGCATGAACTTTGAGTGATTTTTTTAGCTATTCAGATACATTTTCCCCTGCTTTCTCACCCTCGGAGTCAGATTAGAGCTATTTCAGAAAAAAAAGTATTTGAGTAGTGGATATAGATGTATGTGGCTTAACCTGTTCTCTGTTGTGGGCTGCCAGTACTACCTCAGGAATATTGATCTACCACACAATCTGAGCTTCAGATACAGGGCTGTCTGCAGCCCTGGGTTCTACTATCTGTCTGCAGTGTATATTTGCATGAGTTAATGAGCTTTCCAAACTTTTAACTGCTGAGTGAAGAACTGATGGCAGAGCTGGCCAAACTATCAAATCTACTCAGAATGGCATAATGTGAAAGCTGTGGGAACAAGGGAGGGATCCGCTTCCTAATCTCCTCAATCAAAATGAGGGAAAAGATTATGCAGGGGAGGTAAGGACAGTAAGTTCTCTTCTCAGAAGATGCACAGTTTGCATCATCCACGTGAGTTGTCCCTGTGCCCCCGTACCTGAGCAGCACTGGGGTTGCAGTGCATTCTTTGCTCCCTGCAGAGAGTAACTTTGAGTTCTTCCAATGGGCTGGGAGCTCAGATTCACAACTTTTGCCCTTCACTGTTCTTCTGTTAGTCTCAACTCCATGGGAGCAGGGGTAAGGAGAAAACCTTGCCAAAGAGAATATAATCACTTAAAAAAAACAAAAAAAAAAACGTTTTAAGATGAAAAATCTTAATGCAGTAGCTTTTGTGTTTTCTGTTTGTTTTTTCTACTAGTTGTGTTGTCAGTTGAGATTTTGAATTGAACTCTACCTGAGATTGCTCTTAAGTTTTCATTGGGGAAACAGTGTCTTGTTCCACCACCTCGTATTTTCCAAACATGAACAAGTAAGAATTTTGCAATGTGCTGTATGAAAGGACTTTAATATTAGAGCTTTCCTTACATGGATGTTTCCATTTGTATTACAGCAAACTGCACGGAACCCCAATCTGTATCTGGAGCTCCTTTGTTGTATATTTGCATGAGTTATCTTTCATTAGAGTAGGTAAATCATCTTTATTAGAATGAGAAATGGATTTAAAAGCTTGGTGACTTGGAAATATTAAGGTTGTACTGTTTTTGAAGTTTTAATCAGGACATGTAAAGTTTCAGATTTGCAGATTTGCACTGTGCAAATGGAATACTGCCTTTTATGATAATGCTTGGGGGATATCACTGCATAGACCCTTTTTCCAGAGAGCTTCATTCTGACTGTTCTCTGAAAAGAAATTGATATCCCATCAGGTATCATGCATGTATCTTTATTTCTTACAGATTTATGCTCCTTCTCTCTGTTGCAGGAAGTCTGCAAGTTCTTGAAGGATCCCGGTCTCTCTGACAAACAGCTGCTGCAGAATGTTTTCCAGGCAGTAAATTTATACTACAATTATTCAGGAGAAGCCTCATGCTTAGACATGTCTGAGACTGCAACCAAAAATCTAGGCCAGTTGGGTTGGTACTATCAGGTATGCACTCTATCTTTTCTAAGTTGCAACTCAATGAGTTTTTTTGAGCTAGAGCTGATGAGAATTGTCAGGTTGTTTAGCTGTCAATATATTGCATCAGATGTAATTGATGTACTGATGACAAATGTAATGATAAAGTGAGTGTGGCTGTAGGGGAGAGGGCAAGGCAGCAAAGAGAAGCAACTTTCCCAGGAGGTTTAGGTTGTCTTTTCATTGTCTAGCTAATTTTTGAGTTTCAGCATTTTATATAGAGTGGAAAACTATCTTCTTGGTCTTCTAATCCCCCCCATCCCAGCTGTCCCAATTTGTGCATGTAAATATATCAGGATACGTTGATATTGATTTCTCTCAACTAAAGCTGTTTATCCTGTAGCTCACCGAGACCCAACCTTTCCCATGAAGTAGGTAACAAAACCCCTATGGTAAGGGGTCCAGATCATTCTGCTCTCCCCATCCCATTTCCTAAGCACATGCAACACACTTATATGCAGCCTCTTCTGAGGAACAGGACAGCTGCTTCTAGAAGCAAGGTGTTAAGAATTTGATGTTGAGGTTGTGATTATCTGCTCTTGGCTGCTGTCTCCTATGTATTTGTTCTGCACAGCCTCAGGAGATATGCGGACTTTGTAAATTTTCCTCTGAGAAAGGAGGGAAATACCATATGGGGAGCAAAGAATATGGCAGCTGGGCTCATCAAAACAGCTCTGCAGCTTGTTCCCTGCCTGTTTCTGAAGGCACATGGGAAATAGGGCAAATAGAAAAGATTGTGAGTTAACCTCCATCATGGCAATTAATCTATGTTGCTTCCAGGATATAATTCATTTATTTTTTAGCTAATATCACTAAGGTGTCAGAGAATAGTTTGTGTGAAAAATGAAACTTTTCCTTGGTATCTACAAGAAGGACTAGAAGGAGGATCTGGGGAGCTCCAGGCCTGTCAGTGTGACCTTGGTGCAGAGGCAGGTTTTAGAGCAGATCGTCTTGAGTGCCATCACGTGGCAGGTACAGGACAACCAGGTGATCAGGCCTGGTCAGCAGGGGTATGTGAAAGGCAGGTCCTACTTGACCAACCTGATCTCCTTCTGTGACAAGGTGACCTGCTTAGTGGATGAGGGAAAGGCTGTGGATGTTGCCTACCTAGACTTGAGTAAAGCCTTTGACACTGTTTCCCAGAGAATTCTCCTGGAGAAACTGGCTGCTCATGGCTTGGACAGGAGTATTCTTTGAGTAAAAAAACTGGCTGGAAGGCCATGTCCAAAGAGTGGTGATGAATGGAGTTATATCCAGTTGGCAGCTGGTCACAAGTGGTGTTCCTCAGGGTTCAGTGTTGGGGCCAGTTCTCCTTAATATCTTTATCAATAATCTGGATGAAGGGATTGAGTGCATCCTCAGTAAATTTGTAGATGACACCAAGTTGGGTGGGATTGTTGACCTCCTTGAGGGTAAGAAGGTTTTGCAGAGGGATCCGGACAGGTTGGATCAGTGAGTGGAGGCCAATGGTATCAGATTCAACAAGGCCAAGTGCCAGGTCCTGCACTTGAGTTTCAGCAACCGTGCAGGTGTGAGGAACAGTGGCTGGAGAACTGCCTGGTGGAAAAGGACCTGGAGGATGTTGGTTGACAGCTGGCTGAATATAAGCCAGCAGTGTGCCCAGGTGGCCACAAAGGCCAACAGCATCCTGGCCTGCATCAAGAACAATATGGTCAGCAGGACTAGGGAAGTGATCATCCCCCCGTACTGGGAAGGTCCCACCTCAAGTACAGTGTTCAGTTTTGGGCCCCTCACTACAGGAAAGACATTGGAGCATGTCCAAAGAGCAATGAAGCTGTTAAAGGGTCTGGAGAACAAGTCTTATGAGGAGCAGCTGAAGGAACTGGGGTTGTTTAGCCTGGAGAAAAGGAAGCTGAGGAGGTGACCTTACCGGTCTCTACAACTACCTGAAAGGAAATTGTAGAGAGGTGGGTGTTGGTCTCTTCTCCCAGATTATAAGCAAAAGACAAGAGGAAGCAGCCTCAAGTTGTTTCAGGGGAGGGTTGGATTAGATGTTAGGAGAAATTTCTTCACTGAATTGGTTGTCAAACATTGGACCAAGCTGCCCAGGGAAGTGGTTGAATCACCATTCCTGGAGGTATTTAAAAGAGGTGTAGATGTGGTGATGAGAGACATGGTTTAGTGGTGGACTTCATAGTGTTAGGTTAGTGATTGGACTCAATGAACTTAAGGCTCTTTTCCAACCTACATGATTCTATGATAGTTTGACAGTAAATACTAATCAAATGCTGTTTTGATCAGAGCTTTTTTTATTTAAATACTGCTCTTACAGCTGTTGGACAGTCTCCTGGGAATACATCTTGTTACCCTGCTCTTTCCTTCAGGCTTGCACTGAGATGGTGATGCCCATGTGCACAGATGGTGTCAATGACATGTTTGAGCCTCAGAAGTGGGATTTTGATGCACTTTCAGAAGAGTGTTACAGGCTGTGGGGAGTGAGGCCTCGCCCCTCCTGGATCCTTTCTGTGTACGGAGGGAAAAACATCAGTTCACACAGCAACATCGTCTTCAGGTGAGCCTTCAGCTTCTAGAGTGGAGTCTTCCACCAGTTTGGGTTGTCGGTGCAGGGAGCCTGTCCTAAGTAGCAAAAGGATCTGTCTCTAACACTCCAGTTGAATAAATGATGGACACGCTTTTTGTTGCTCTGGAGAGTAAAATGGTCAATGTGCAGTGGCCAAAGAAGCTAACTTCTGTCACTGTGTGCCTCTAAAAGAAGAATCTGGGTTGGGATTCTGCCAAATGTAATTTTCTTCCCACGTGGATTCCTTCTTATCTTGTGGCCAAAGTCCAGGTTTCCCATGCTGGTAAATCCCTCCAGCTTTTATGAAGCCAAAGCGCTGTCTCTTCCACATAAAGGGAAGTCTAAACGAGCTCCAGCTCTAACACAGGATCTCGGTCACTAAAAGTGTTGCTCTGGGTGATAGCCTTGCGGAGGGGCTGGCGTGACATTCCTTTTTCCCCTTGATACAGAAAAGAGAGGGAAGTAACTTGGGGAGCTTTCTTGTCACTGCCAATTACCCTTTTCTTTTAGTGGTGATTAGGCAAGTTTCAAAAAACTTGTGTAAGATCCAAATACAAAGATGTTTCTACTCTAGCAAGGCATCCTGGTAATACAGCAGAAGTTTGTCTGGAAGACCTTTGTATATGGACAAAAAGTGAAAGAAATGTCTCAATCTAGTGCAAAAACCAGTTTGTGCTGTTTGCTTTCTGCTCAGCCTTTGCTTTCCTTAGTTTTAAAGTTTAACTCTGCTTTCTTGAAAGGGAGGTTCACGTAACTGTACTCCTGCTGCGAGATGATACAAAATTTTGAACAGCTAAATACTGGCTGTTCATCGGGTTGTAGGGAGGCTTTTAATAAACCCATGGAAGTTGATGCTTCAGGAGTTGTGACTTGCTGTACGGATTGCCCACTGTGGGCAGCTCCTGGATATATATTCCTCTCTGCTCTGGTTAAAATTGTGCAAGGCTTTTTCAAACTAAAAAAAAAAAAAATCAGCACCCTGCCGCTTTTTTAAACAAAACTCAAAATTAGCCTGTTGGACTTGGTAAATAGGTGTGTATTTTAAAAGTAGAAAGTCCTCACTTGAATTGGGGATTATTCTCCGGATTTCAGCTGTTTAGTGTTGGTCTGTTTGGCTCCAAAGGCCTGTTGCTTTCCTTTTGTTTGTCTCTTGCTGTTTCTGTCCCAGCAGGATATCTGCTCTGGAATGAGAAATTCCACCCTTTTTGGGAAAACTTTGTAATAAGAAAAAAAATATTTGTTGGTTTAACTTAATTTCTGCAGTGTTGCTTATTTCCAGGGCTTCACAGCTCTGTACAGTAGAAATCCGCTTTGTAAGCGATAGACAAGCAAACAAATCGGAGTGTTTAAGAATTTCTGCCAGCTGAAGGAGCTTGGAATGAGAAAAGCTTGAAAAGCAACCAAATGAATGAAGAAGTAGTGCTGTACACACAAAGCTTTGGATCTCAAGCTGGGTTGTTTCTCTTCAAACAAATACATTGTCAACACTGTACATTTTATATAAGAGCCTTTTATCCTCCAACAATGCGGAGTGCTTTACAAAAAACTATCCCTATGTTTACCAGGGGATGTGGCTCCCCGTGGGGTAAAAAGCACTGTGTTTCAAGTGTCAGGCAACTTCCACAACAGTTTAGTGCAGGAAAGGAAGAATACTCCGTCTAACCAGAACCACTGCAGGGTGGATTTATCCAGCCGCAGTGGGATTTGGCCAGGATGCTTGAACTGGTGTTGCTGCTTCTCCCTCTGCCAGCAGCGTGTCTCCCTGCGGAGTCACACTGTGTTCTACTGATTGCATGGTATCGGCGCAGGAATCTCCATTGCCACGTTGGTACCTTCTTGGAGTTATGAAGTGTGTGGTTACTTAGGCTGTAGGCAGATATCACTGAATTTTTTAGAGTTGGAAGGGACCATAGAGATCATCTAGTCCAACTCCCCTGCTAAAGCAGGACCACCCAGAGCTTGTCAGAGCATGTTACTCAGGACTGCATCCAGGTGGGTCTTGAAAATCTCCAAAGAAGGGGACTCCACACCCTCCCTGGACAGCCTGTTCCAGGGCTCCGTCACCCTCACCATGAAAAAGTTCTTCCTCATGCCTGTCCTGGGCAGTGAATCTTTATTTAAACACTACTTGGAGGAAATTGGGGTTTTCAGAACCCTGTTTGCCCTTTTCTCTTAGAATCGTAGACTCATTCAGGTTGGAAGAGACCCTTGGGATCATTGAGTCCAACCATCTACCCTACTCTACAAAGTCCTCCCCTACACCATATCCCTCAGTACTGCATCTAAACATCCCTTAAACACATCCAGGGATGGTGACTCAACCACCTCCCTGGGCAGCCTGTTCCAGTGCCCGACCACTCTTTCTGTGAAAAATTCCTTCCTAATGTTCAGTCTAATGTTCTTCTCCTGATACTCTTACTGGAACATGCTGTGTGCTTGGTGTGGAAACTTGCCTGTCCTGGGCAGTGCATCTTTATTTAAACACTAGTTGGAGGAAATAGGGCAAACAGGGTTCTGAAAACCCCATTCTCTTCTCCTGATACTCCTACTGGAACATGCTGTGTGCTTGGTGTGGAGGTGCCTCACGGTGGTGGAAACAGCATTTAACTCTGTTCATGCATGTGGTGGCGCAGAGCTTGTAGCAGTTGGTAGTGTCTCATCATCAACATACCGTGGTAGTCAAAATCAGTCCAGGTTATATCAGACAGTACGATATTTAGCGTGCACAGTCTGATACTTTTGAGTCTGGATGGATCACACCCAGGTTGTATCCTCCTAAGGGCACTCATCTGTCCAGTTGTGCACTGGGAGAGGCAGAAAGTGAAGGTTCTGGAGACAGGGACACTGGAGGTATGTGCAGAAGGGAGGATTGTTAGCATAAAAGAAGGGAACGGAGGAAAAGAAGAGAAGGCAAAACAATGCCTGGCTGAAGAGAAAAAAGTTAATAAAAGGGAATTTGGTAGTTGCGGAGAGTGGGCATGTTAAAGGGTGTAAAAACAGTGCTGTTAAGATTGTGTAAAACCTCCTTGTTCTGGGTAGGGCTGAAGGGCTGAGGAGACTCTGGAGAGGTGACAGGAAAGGGAACTGTTTGCTCTGGGACCCTATTAGTGCTGTCAAGGAAATACGATGACTTAAACAGGACTAGTGTGCTAGTATTTTGCATTAATTTTTTTCTGAAGCCCTACTTGCCTGACCACAGCTAGAAAGGAATGGCTGACTCTTTTATTCTTTCTTTTCTTTTCTTTCACTACTTCTATTTATATCAGGGAAACTCCTGCCCTGTAAGATCAGCAAATGAATACTTACGTGCGTGCTTAGTTCTAACACATAAATAACCTATTCCAGTTGGTACCGACTTGCCTTATTCTGTAAAACTGCTTAAGATTTACGATGATTTTGTGGTGACTGCTCCAGCCCCCCTCCTCCCAGCAAGTATCGCTTCCCAAACTGCGTCAGTGCCTCTGGTGCCATCATTTGGCAGGAGCTGCAGAGGACTCAGCCAGAAGCTCCCAGAGAAGCCAGAGACAGCGTTGTTTTCTCGTGGCGTGCTTAGTTTCCACATGACTTGGGACCAAAAGCTCCAAGTTCATGTACATCTTGGGTCTCTCAGCAACTCATCCCCCTGTTGCCAAGGTGCTCTGCTGATTCAGGCGACCTTTTAAATCAAATGCTTTTTGCTTATTGGGCAGCTCTGTATGCTTTTTGTTTTGCAGGTACAAAATGTTTCTCTTCTCCTAAGTCATATTTAGAACCACTGAAAATAAAGAACTACAGGGATTCAAGATACTTGTTTGGGTTTGGTTTTTTTAATGCAAAACCAAATAAAGTATTAGTTCTGGCCCCATCAGGTTCTTAGCTATTTCTACATAACTTTTTTTTTTTTTAAACACCTTCTTTCTGGTATTTTCTGGAGCTGCCATTGTGGTAAGCTTCTAGCTGCATACCTCTTACAGCCCAAGGATGTTTTAATTTCTTAGATCCTCCTAGAAATTTGCACACACAACAGTCCATCTCTAATGTTTCTTTTTGCGGGTAGGTGTACTGTTTTACCAGAGGAACAGATCTAGATTTGTGTAGTTCTAGAAATACACAGATACTGCTTTCTTTCTGCACAAAAAGATGGACCACATGTGGCAAGAAGATTGCGGTAAAGGGGAATAAGAGGTAGTAGGGGTTACTGGGTGAAGTCCAAAGCCAGGAATGAGAGAGGCAAAACTCTCATCCCTGTTCAGCCCTTGGCTTGCTCCATGAGCCAGGCATTATTTGGAGCCAGATCTACAGCACAAGGAATCTTTTTGTTGACTGGAGGTGAGGGAGGAGGGAAAGTAAATTGCATTAAACTGTCCTGTCACAGAGGAAGAGTCATTGTAGACAGCTTCTTGAGGGATAAATGCTTTAATATGGTGGTTATTAGAAATAAGGGGGCTAAAGGAAGGTCCAAGCATTTCTTTGCAAAATCAGGTTGGCGCCCAGCTGAGACAGCAAAAGGTAGAACTTCCTGAAAATTCAGTTCTCAAGCGTCTGGTTGGTTGAGTTATGGCAGACTGTGAGGAAGAGAAGCAAAGTGCTTTGATTTGGGAATTTGGGCATGCCTTAGTACAGGGGAACTTGGACCTTTTTTGACAATGATGGGTGGCTGCAGATCTATCTCCAGAGCTGTGGCGCTATTATAGGTTATCTGAATTAGCAGATAATTAGTGACAGCATAGCTTTGCTTAAGTTGCTAATAGCTCCATACCTCTGTTCAGAAGGCTCCTCTCAGCAGGGAGGTGGGTGCAAGACATCGAGACAGGGCTGAGGTCTGTTTCTGTCTGTATTATATGCAAAAGTAGTTGGAAGTCAATGGGGTTACGTTGATGTGGCCTGCAGCTCCACTGCTGACTGTACCCTACCCTCTACCGTGCAGATGTATCCTCATGAGATGTTCTTTCCTTACAGCAATGGTGGCCTGGACCCGTGGTCTGCCGGTGGGGTGACCAAGAACATCAGCGATTCCCTGGTGGCAATCGTGATCCCAGATGGAGCCCATCACCTGGACCTGCGCAGCCGCAACCCCGCCGACCCCCAATCCGTGCAGCAAGCTCGAGCCTTGGAGATCTGCTACATGAAGCAGTGGATCGAGAAGGCCAGGCGCAGCCACTGAAGGTGGCACTGCAACAGTTGTACCTCCGTTGGCTTTGCTGGGAGCAGGGCCAGGCCTCGTCGCGCGGTCGTCTGAGCATTTCACTCCCGCTTCCTCCCCTGTGTCGCAGAGCTAACCATTGCTTGTGCCCGTGAGAGTAGCAGGTGGCAGATGGGTGGAGAGCATTTCTCAGATGATGAGCTGTAGTCAAAGTGCCTAGATTGAGCTGCCTGCTCTGGCTTGCTTTCCTCTTCTGCTCTTAAACGCTGCATTTTACCATAGAGTTCCTGTCCTAGGCTTGATGCCTTCCCCGCTGTGCTGGGTGGTTTTCCTGACTGCTGGTACAGACAGTGCTTTAAATGGCAGTGCTGTTGATGGTGAAGAATCCTGCTGCCTTCAGTGGGAGTGAATTTCAGACAATCTCAGCTGGTATAAGCTGTCACGGCAGGGGCATGGAGATGGTGGCGAAAGAAATCACATCATACTGTGATATTTGGTGGAGAGGTAGGGAAGGCATGGGGAAACCAGCTGTGCTGTTTGTAAAGAAACTAAACAGCCCTTATTGATGCTGGAAAAGAAATAAATATATTTTTTTTTCCCCTTTTTATTTTACTGGCAGCTTATTAATCAAAGCTGACTTGGGTGGCTTTTCCATTCTGCGCTGTACTGAATGGTCAGGGCTGGGCCCGGACTCACTCTGCTGATAACTGGCTGAGCGTGCACAATCTGCAGCAGGGTTTTATTTCTTCCTCCCCTGTTTGTCCTAATCCCCAAATACCTGCCACTGTGATGATGGTTGCCAAAGAAAACTCTGCGTGTATTTCATATGTGTGTATATCCCCCCCCCCCAAACACTTTGCTTTTTCAAATCAGGAAGCTTTCGAAGCTATTCTCTTGAAGAGCGAATGTGACACTTGTGCTGGCCAGATCTTATGAAGTGACAAATAATTGGGGCTGTGCCTTGTGTGGATTCTCCCCTCCCCCCCCATTCTGTGTATTGTTCAAATTCTGCATGATCTGTTTGCTGATGGGTCTTCAATAAAAGCCTTTTTTTAAAAAAAAAAAAAAAAAAAAAAAAAATTGTTTGCAGGACAAACTATTGAAAACACAGAATGCAGCTATCCTCTTGGATCAGCCTAAAGCCTGATGCTGAGCTCAACAAGCCAGGTGCACCGGGCTTTCTGTAAGGCTTCCAAACCAGACAAACTGCCCTGATTCATGAGACAGCATATTTGACGTTAATAAATGGCTGGGGCAGTCCCCTCGTCTTCCAGCTTTGGCTTCATTCACACTGGAGCCCTTCTTCAGAAAGGATTCTTTGCAGTTTAAAGGACAACCCCATTTCAGAAAGACTCGGGGAAGGCTTCTTGTCCCCAGACTCTTAAAATTCCAATTCTGTTGTAAAAGTTTTCTCAGCTTTGATGATATGTCTGATAGTGGTGTATTTTCCTAAGACACCAGGTGGCCTGTTCTGTTCCCAGTCTCCTCCCATCCTCTGGGAACAAAGCGGAGCCAACACTGAAATTTTATCTCTTAATACACCCCTGTGCATCTTCTTCCAATAGAGTTCCTGGCATTCCCTTGTCTTGTGTTAAAAGTGGCATTTATATTCAGACTCTGCAAATCTGAACCTCTTATGCTCTTGAGCCAGGTAATTTCTGAAGAGAGAATTCTGTAGAGAATAAGGCCAGAGAAGAGCCTGGAGAGAGCCCTTCTCCTGGGGAGAAGGAAAAGCTCTGTAGAACCTGCCTGAAACCTGCCTGAAACCTCTTGACTGCCTGAAAGCTGTTGGCAATCCCTTTTCCAATAATTCCAGATTTTGGTACTCTGCTGTAAATGCACTGCAGTCCCTTGCTCACGTACTTTATAATGACATGGTGGCCTCAAATTTGTGGAAACAAAAATGTTTTTTAATCAAGTGAATGACAGTCAAGTTTTTAGAAATACCTTTGTATCTTCTTATGTGTTAATGGATGTATGGTGATGTCCTGGTTTACTGCAAGGAATGGCATCTACAAGAGTAAATATAAATTTGAGAATCAGAAATGGTTTAACTGAGCAAGCAAGAGCCTGGTCCAGCTGCTCCCCTTGGTTGCTCAGGGTGCTGCTCCAAGTGCAAATCCTGGGATAAACATTTCCATGTTGCATGGAGGAGGACGTGGGGATATCCACGCACTGGGCTGTTAACAGCCCCTGGATATTGTAATCAGCTTGAGCCTGCTCTCTCTCCCCTGCTGGCTGCCTCACTGTCTCAGGAAATAGCTTCTTTGTTATTTGGAAAGTGCTTTTTGGTTTCAATCTGCATAAGTAATTTAAAATTTCATTCTTCTTTTCTTGCTTTTTTCGCTCCTTTCATAAGCAGAAAAAAAAAAAAGAGCCATTTTAGTAAAAAAACTTGCATTTTTGAATTTTGAGAAATTGCGTTTAAAACCAAAAGTTGTTCAGTGTGGTTTTGTTTGTGTTTCTTTTTTTGTGTGGATTGTTGTTCTTTTTTATTATTATTGTTTTTTTAGTTAATGCTACTATTCCATTCAGTGAGACTCTGATTCAAGTGCACTTTGGATCAGGTTCTTACTGCTTGGACCAGCTTCTGAATTAGGTGACTGACTTGCTGTTATTCTTAATTGTTCTTCCTTTCTGCTTTTTTTTTTATCCTTTAAGTTGAGTAGTTGAAACTTTAGGTCTTATTTACCTTAAGCATTCAGACTTCATCTTAAAATCTATGTATGTAGACACCTTTGTACGCTACCGAGGTGCTGTCTGTGGTGTTTGGCTACCTCATCTAAACGTTGGCTTCTCTGCTTGTTTTGTGGTGAGAAGAAAATGTCCACGGGAAAGGGCTGATTCCTCTTTCCAGGAGTATGATGACGGGCCGTACTTCATCTCGGGCTTACGTGTGTCCTTGGCACGGGTCATGAAGGACTGCAATTTAAAAATGTATGTTTCCTACTCAGTGGGGAAAATCCAGAAGGAAAGAAAATGAATGATTTGCCCAAGGTGTGAATCTTCCTGGTGAAACTGCAGTTTGTTTCAATAAAAATGCAATAAAATAATAAAATGTGAGATTCTGGAACTGCATTTTGCTTTGCAAGGACGTGGATTTTTATCCCTTGGCAGATTCAGAGTTCTGCAAATACAGTGTCTTGTTTCTGCTTGACTTGGGTGGAATGGGAGGAAAACTAGTTGAGGTAGTCCCCAAGGTACGCAGAAGATGTCACATGGTGATGATGAAGGTTGTGTGGATGGATCTGCAGCACTTTGCGGCCCTGCAAGTGGAGGTTTTAACTGGGCTATGTAGCCCAAAGAGTTAATTGGGCAGGGTATAGGGTGTAGAGTCTTGGGAGAGAGCTAAGTGTCTTCTGCCAAGAAATTGTCGTGTTTGTAGGTATTTTTAATTCTGAAGATTACCAAATACTGCATTGTGAAAGGAGTCTGTAGAAAGGAAAGTCCCTCCAGGAGAACCTGGAGCATGGTTTCTAAATCACAGGAAAAGTGTATGCAAAGTGAGAATTGAGTTTTGTCTCCCATGCTGTCCACCCACCCTGTTACACACAAATGTCAGTATGCTTTAAATATAAGGAGATATTTTTTTTTTCTACCTCCCCTCTTGAAGAGGGTGTTCAGCTGTTGTGGATCTAATCTCTAAGGAGTGGGAAAGAATCCTGAATGCCCTGAAGAGCTTTCTGTATGCTAAAGATTTGCACATTGACAGATGCTTTATATCCTTCCAGGACTCCTGGTGGAATCATCGTGCCTTTCTGAGGTCAGGAGGATGCTCTGGAGCCCACAAGCAGGGGGTTGAGAGAGCACAGGGGACTGTGTGCTCCAAGCCCACGTTTTTTGCTCTCTCCTGTTGATTCAGAACTCATTGCTGTGCTGTGACTGGGGGTGTGCGTTCATGAAACCATGTATAGAGGGGGAAAAAAAAGGAAGATTTTTATGGTAGTTTGAGTTAATATATCTGAAACTGCTTCTGAAGTCAAAACTGTGCATTTTTACTCCCTAGGAGCAATTTATAAACGATCACTTGGAGATCTTGGTTTGAATCCCGTTGCACCTCTGTCTCTGTCATTTGCCCTGACACTGTCATCGGTGTTGATGTTTAGCACATTACTAGGTGTTACTACAGTACCTTCTAGATTTGTTTATAGTTTAGCTTCTTGGTGTGTTTTTAAACCAAAACCTTGGTCTTACAAAAAGATGTAAGTCCAACTTCTTTAAGTTTGTCCATGTTAAAAACCTAAAATGGTCCGGTTTGTCAGTGCAGGTTAGCAGAAGATGTGTTACTTCATGTTACCAGAGCAGTGAAGAGACGGCAAAAGATCTGAACTGCAGATGACATCTGGGATAAATTCACTGTGCTTAAGTGCTTTTCAAAATTCTCCTTCTATTGTTAAAAATCCTTATTCTATCATTTTAAAAACGCTGGGCTTCGTTAAAGATTGCAGCTTCCGCTGACATTACAAGCTTTATGCTCTTGTACTATTTTGATTCCTTGATTTCCCAGTGCTGCCTCTTTTTTTTTTTTTTCCCCAACCCAACTCAATTTCACCAGAACATCTGAAATTATTTGATCCAAGTGCTTTAGGGCACTTTCATTCTCTGTGTCATAGAATCATAGAATGGTTTGGGTTGGAAAGGCCCTTAAAGATCATCTAGTTCCAACCCCCCTGCCCTGGGCAGGGACACCTCCCCCCAGACCAGGTTGCTCAAAGCCCCATCCAGCCTGGCCTTGAACACTTCCAGGGATGGGGCAGCCACAGCTTCTCTGGGCAACCTGTTCCAGTGCCTCACCACCCTCACAGGAAAGAATTTCTTTTTGGTATCTAATCTAAATCTGTCCTTTCAATAATTGAGGCCCAGTGAAGAAATTGCTTTCTAGCCTGGGTTTTATTGCTGACAGCTAATTGTATGGCTGCCCTGAGCCTTGCCCAGGTGAGGACCCAGCTCTGTCCCCTCTGCATCCCCACGATGGAGGTCCCCATGGTCTTGGGGCGCAATGCAGGGACATCAAATGGCCCACAGCAGTGAAGAGTGAGAACATGTTCCTTTAGCATGACCATCCAATACTTGTGCTCCCCAAGGTGGTAATAAGCTAAAGCAGCCATTGCTCATCTTGCAGTTGGGTTTTGGGTGCCAGATGTGAACTTTTGGGTGCCAGCTGGCAGTTGAGGTGCTTTGGGTGTAACGAGGGCACCTCCGTACTGGGAGCTGTAGTTTCTAGAAGGCGTCGGTGCTGTGTCTGAGCGTTTCCCCGGTGGGCAGCGAGGGCTCCTTGGGGCAGGGGGTGGGGTAGGGGTGGGGGGTGGCTGCTGCTGCCCGGCTCTCGGGGGCTTTCCCCTCCGCTGGCGATTTGCAAAATCTTTTAGTTCAATCCCCCAGTTTAGAAAGTAGGGGCAGCGAAACGCTGAGACCGGGAATAACAAATCCCTTCCGTTTGTCTTGTTGTTTTCTAATGTATGCGACCTCTCTGGGTGGTTTAAGCGGTTTAGGTACTTTCTATAAAAGGGATCTTTTAATGACAAAACTAATGTGATTATCTTACCGAGTGTGAGAGGCGTATTCAAGGTTTAAAGAAAATCTGTTAGAATAGCTGAATGTATCTGCTTAATCCTTTCTCTAATGTGGGTGGACAATGCTCTGGGAAGCAATTGGTCTTTCTTTCTTCGAGTAAATGCCTGGTCTCCAGAGGTAGGAACTTGTTTGCAGCTTTTTATACCCTTACGCTTCACCTTCTAGAGAATACAAAGGCGCAGGAGAGAGGCAGAGAGCTTTGAGAGGCCAAGTTTTAACTCGAATAGCCGGGGGTGTAACCAATACGGGGCCAATTCCAGCAGGCGGCCGAGCGCCCTCCGCTCCCTTTGACTGCCACCTGAATAGAGGGATCCTCCTTTTCTCTCTCCTGCTAAACCACGTCCCCCGCAACAGGTCCCTGCCTGGTTTTGTGTCTGTGCCCTTCCCGGGGTGGATCCGGGGCTTCAGGGAATCATAGAATCATTGAGGTTGGAAGAGACCCTTGGGATCATCGAGTCCAACCATCTCCCCTCCTCTACAAAGTCCTCCCCTACACCATATCCCTCAGTACCGCATCTAAACGTCCCTTAAACACAGCCAGGGACGGTGACTCACCCCCCTCCCTGGGCAGCCTATTCCAATGCCCGACCACTCTTTCTGTGAAAAATTCCTTCCTAATGTTCAGTCTAAACCTACCCTGTTGGAGCTTGAAGCCGTTCCCTCTTGTTCTATTGTTAATTACCTGTGAGAAGAGACCAGCACCAACCTCTCTACAGTGTCCTTTCAAGTAGTTGTAGAGAGTGATGAGGTCTCCCCTCAAGCCTCTTCTTCCTCATACTGAACAGCCCCAGCTCCTTAACTGGGGTTAAGGTCCTGTTTTCCCTATCAACCCTTTGGAAAGGTTTGGAAAAGTTCTGGCAGGGTGATGCCCAAGCAGGGGAGAACACAGTGATGCTGCAGGATGCAGCCATGGCTGGACCTCGGCTGGTATCATCCTGGCGTTGCTCAGCTCCTCCACTGTTCGTAGGTCTGTGCTTGTGAATCTTTGGTTTCCCTGTGTCCATCTGGGCACACAGATCTTTGAAACAGTAGGAAATCCTGTTGTCTGCAACTGTTAGTAAGGTAGGTAGAACCCCCCCGCCTTGCCAAAGTATTAAAAAAAACCCCAAGTAGTGGCTCTGGGCGTCTTTAGCACGTGGATTTGGCTTTATAGCAGACACAAACATGTTGTACTTTGCAATTTGTTATCCAAACATCCTCAAAACAGCACGTAAGGAGGAAAAGGATATTGAGCTGCTGTCTTTCCCAGATTAAGTGAAAAGTACTGTCTCCTCTCACCACCCAGCGCAGTAACACAGGGACAAGAGGCACCTCAGCATCAGTGTCTCTCCATGGAGACCGGTGCTGAGCTGGAGCTGGCTGCCCGTGCCCTGCAGTTGGCACTGGAATCTCTGCTGTGGAGACAGACAATATCCAAGGACTTCGTGCACAACCTAAAAAACAGTCCCAGGTTGTGTCAAACACTGCATTTTCTGCATGAGGGGAAAGCAATTTGTGCAGCTGAGGCCTTAGCGTCTCCCCAGCAGGCTGCTGAACGACCAGTAGTCATGGGATGGCTTAGGTTGGAGGGATCTCAGGAGGCCTCTGGTCCCAAACCTCTGCTCACAGCAGGATCATCTACAGGGTCAGATTGGGATGCTCAGCGATGTAGCCAGTTGGGTCCTGAAAACCTCCAAGGATGGAACCTGCACAGCGTCTCTGGGCATCATGCTTGACGGTTGGCGGGTTGAAAAGTTTTGTATCAAGTCTGGACCTTTTGTTTCAGTTTAGATGCGCTTTTATCCTCCCACCATGCACTATTATGAAGAGCCTGGCTCTGTCTTCTTGATGACCCCCATAGGGATTGAGGGCTGCTGTTAGGTGCCACCAAAGCTCTTCCTTTTCCAAGCTGAACAAGTCCATCTCCCCCATTCTCTCTTCACAGGCCAAGTGGTCAGTGGTACTCTCTGAACTTGCTCCGGAAGATCAATCTTCCACCAGGAGGCCTCAAGCTGAATGCAGCATTTGATTTGTGGTCACCAAGCACTGACTGGAGGGGGATGATCCCTTCCCTAGATGTCCACGAGGGCCTTTTCTGCAGAGCTGCTCCTCAGGCTGTCAGTGCCCAACCTGCATCACTGCAATGAGCCCAACCTTCCCAAAGGAGCAAGACTTTGTGCTTGGTCCTGTTGAATTTCCTGAGGTTCTTGTTGTCTCTTTCCTTCAGCACATCTGTCTGAATGGCCACCCTTTCCTGAGTGTATTAACTCTTTCCTCCAACTTGGTGTCATCTGCAAGGGTAAAAAATGCCAAAGAAGATGATGAAACCTGAGAACATAGAAGATACGCTTGGACTAGTCTTGAAAGCACTTGTTCTCTGAAATACTTGCAACATTGAAAGAAACTCATCTTTCCTGACCACCTTCTTGCTGTCTTCATCCCTACATCAATTCTGCCATGGATCCTGCTGCTGAGATCTGACCGGCTGCTGGAACAAGGGAGGAAAGCCC